CATTCTGCTTCTTAAGAGACTCATTCCTGGGCTGTCTCAGTGAAAGCCTTGGAACATGTAGCACACTGTGCCCGTAGCTCAGGGACCTTGTCTCTCTGTTCTTGTCTGTCCCCTCCTGCATATCCTTGAGCTGAGTTTTATATTTTCTGCTTTCTAGTTTCAATGCTTCGTTTTGTTTCACAAAAGCTCTGGCTGCTATGATCAAACCCTGAACAACCAGGGCTTTTCCCCTTGTCTTAGCAAACTTGTTGCCAAAAAAGTTGCTTTCCACCAGATTAGCCCCCACTTGACACGGATTCTGGCTTGTGAGGATGACCACCTCCTTAAGGGGACCCCACCATGTCTGGCTAGATACTTATCTACATATCCCCCCAGTGACTCCATTGTCCCTTACAAATGCCTTAAACCCCTGAGTACCTGTAGGTTGCGGTCCCTGGGATATTGGCTGTTAGCCCAAGCTGCAAACGCCCTGGCTCACCAGAATGTGGATTGAGGTTCACTTGCTCAACAGATTGATCTAACAAATATTTATTAAGGCAAAACACTCAGCAAGTAGTGATCAGTTACTTACAAGTGGGAAGTTCATTAGAATGATCTCATGACAGTTGCCGCCAGTACCAGACAATACAGCTTCAACCTCCCTTTGTTACACAAACTTATTTATAATTTGTTGTTACCTTTTCTTATATGTATTAATCTCTCATTTCCATGTTAACTCTCCTCCCCTATCAGTACAGGTGTAGTGTTAGTTCAAACCGATCTTTTCTAGATTTTTCGTTACTTTATCTTTTCTTGTTCTCACAAAGATGATTACTCTACTTATGCTTATACTTAAATGTTATCAGAGCAGACTCTTAAAATCTACCTCAGGCTTCTATCAGGCCTACATATGCCTTCACTCCCAACACTGTATGGCATTCAAAATCTCTTCTAGTGTTCAACAGAAAACCTTCCACTCAATATTTACATCTCTAGCTAGGAAATAGTTGAGTTTCATCTCATGGCCCTGGAAGATCTTGCACTTTATTTTTATGAGACACAGGGTGAGTTTGAGAAAATGTGGCTTAAATACACAGGAATAAGTGCATATACATCTAACAACAAAACTCATAGAGTCACACGAGTCTTACATGAGGAAAGACTCTATCCTGGGAAGCAGAGACTCTGAAAAACATTGGTAGATAATCAGCCGAACATAAGCTCTCAGTGTGATGCTGTGGCCAAAAGGATTAATGCAATCCTTGAATGCATAAACAGGGGAATCTCGAGTAGGGGCAGAGAGGTTATTTTACCTCTGCATTTGGCACTAGTGCAACCGCTGCTGGAATCCTGTGCCCAGTTCTAGTGCCCACAATTCAGGAAGGATGTTGGTAAATTGGAGAGAGGTCCGAGAAGAGCCATAAGAATGATTAAAGGATTGTAGAATGTGTCTTCTAGTGATAGACTCAAGGAGCTCTGTCTATTTAGTTTAACAAAGAGGAGGGTAAGGGTTGACTTTATCATGGTCTATAGGTATCTACATGGGGAAGAAATATTTGAAAATGGGCTCTTCAATCTAGTAGACAAAGTTATAAAATAACCCAATGGCTGGAAGTTGAAGCTAGACAAATTCAGACTGGAAATAAGTTGTATATTTGTAACAGTAATAGTAATTAACTGTTGGAACAATTTACCAAGGTCTGTGCTGAATGCTTCATCACTGGCAATTTTAAATATTTAAAAGATCTACTCTAGTACAAAAGGAATTATTTTGGGGCATGTCTGTGGCCTGTGTTATACAGGAGGTCAGACCAGATGATGACAATGGTCTCTTCTGGGTTTGGAATTTGTGAATTTGTTCCAAAGTAACTTAGTTCATCGTCATGCAGGTGGCTTTTCAGTCTGTGTGAACACCGCACTTCCATTAATTGGAATATTTTCAAACTTGCATGGACTTTTCACACACTTGAAAAAGGAGTCAGCTCACATGATATTTGAGCACTACAATTCGTGGGGAGTGAGCTAAATGGCCCCAAGATTTCCCAAAGCAGCTTTGCGAGTGCTCCAGATAGGGATTGAGGTGCTGGGTCAGAGCTGTGTTGAGGGAACTTATAGAGCATTTTCGGTTTTCATGAAGAAGGTTGGTGGTGATTGGACATGTAACATAGTGAATGCCAGTGAAAATCAGGTAGGATCAGAGGCTAAAATAGGGAAAGAACAAGTTAAAAATTACTTAGACAAATTAGATGTCTTCAAGTCACCAGGGTCTGATTAAATGCATCCTAGAATACTCAAGGAGCTGACTGAGGAGATATCGGAGCCACTAGTGATTATCTTTGAAAAGTCATGGAAGATGGGAGAGACTCCAGAAGACTGGAAAAGGGCAAATATAGTGCCAATCTATAAAAAGGGAAATAAGAACAACCTGGGGAATCACAGACCAGTCAGCTTAACTTCTGTACCCGGAAAGATAATGGAGCAAATAATTAATCAATCAATTTGCAAACATCTAGAAGATAATAAGGTGATAAGTAACAATCCCAGCATGGATTTGTAAAAACCAAATCATGTCAAACCAACCTGATAGCTTTCTTTGACAGGGTAACAAGCCTTGTGGATAGGGGGGAAGCGGTAGATGTGGCATAACTTGACTTTAGTAAAGCTTTTGATACTGTCTCACATGATCTGCTCATAAACAAACTAGGGAAATGCAACCTGGATGAAGGTATCATAAGGTGGGTGCAAAACTGTAGGAAAACCGTTCCCGGAGAGTAGTTATCAGTGCTTCACAGTCATGCTGGAAGGGCATAACAAGTGGGGTCCCGCAGGGATCAGTTCTGGGTCCAGTTCTGTTCAATATCTTCATCAATGATTTAGTTCAGAGGTGGGCAAACTATGGCCCGCGGGCCACATCCTGAACTCCCGGCCGGGGAGGCTAATCCCCGGCCCCTCCACCGCAGCCACGCTGCCGCGTGGGGAGCACTCTGGCCCGCCGCTCCTGCCGGGCTGCACGGCTTGTGCCCGCCCACCTCCCAGGCTTTCCAATAAGCCAATCCTGCTGCTCTGAGCGGCATGGTAAGGGGGCGGGGAGCGGAGGGGTTGGATAAGGGGCAGGGGGTCATGGGGGGCAGTCAGGGGACAGAGAGCAGGGGGCAGTTGGATAGGGGGTGGGGTCCCAGGGGGCGGTCAGAGACAGGGAATGTGGGGGTTGGATAGGCGTGGGAGTCCCGGGGTGCCTGCTAGGGGGTGGGGGTGTGGATAGGGTTTGGGGCAGTCAGGGGACAGGGAGTGGGGTGGGTTGGATAGGGGGTGAGGTCCTGGGGGGGCAGTCTCAGGAGGTGACGGTCAGGGGACAAGGAGCAGGGGGTTGGATGGGTTGGGGGCTCTGAGGGAGGCAGTCAGGGGGCGGGAAGTGAACATCATTCTGGGATGTATTAGCAGGAGTGTTATAAGCAAGACACGAGAAGTAATTCTTCTGCTCTGCACCGCGCTGATTAGGCCTCAAGTGGAGTATTGTGTCCAGTTCTGGGCGTCACATTTCAGGAAAGATGTGGACAAATTGGAGAAAGTCCAGAGAAGAGCAACAAAAATGATTAAAGGTCTAGAAAACATGACTTATGAGGGAAGATTGAAAAAATTGGGTTTGTTTAGTCTGGAAAAGAGAAGACTGAGGAGGGACGTGATAACAGTTTTCAAGTACATAAAAGGTGGTTACAATGAGGAGGGAGAAAAATTGTTCTTCTTAACCTCTGAGGATAGGACAAGAAGCAATGGGCTTAAATTGCAGCAAGGGAGGTTTAGGTTGGACATTAGGAAAACTGTCAGGGTGGTTAAGCACTGGAATAAATTGCCTGGGGAGGTTGTGGAATCTCCATCATTGGAGGTTTTTAAGAGCAGGTTGGACAAACACCTGTTAGAGATGGTCTAGATCAGGGGCGGACAAACTATGGCCCGGAGACCGTATCCAGCCCTTCAGATGTTTTAATCAGGCCCTCAAGCTCCTGCCGGGGAGCGGCGTCTGGGGCTTGCCCCACTCTGGTGCTCCAGCCGAGGAGCGGGGTCAGGGGTTTGCCCCGCTCCATGCATGCCATGGCTCCGTGCGGCTCCCACAGCTCCCATTGGCCGGCAACCACGGCCAATGGGAGCTGCAGGGGCGGTGCCTGCAGATGGGGCAGCGCACAGTGCCACCTGGCCGCACCTCTGTGTAGGAGCCGGAGGGGGGACATACTGCTGCTTCTAGGAGCTGCTTGAGGTAAGCGCTGCCTGGAGCCTGCACCCCTGCCCCCTTCCCATGTCCCGAACCCCTGCCCCAGCCCTGATCCCCCGTTCCGCCCTCCAAACCCCTCGGTCCCCGCCTCCTCCTGCACCCCAGAACCTGCACCCCCAGCTGGAGCGTCACCCCCCCCACCTGCACCCCAACCCCCAGCCCAGAGCCCCCTCCCGCACCCTGAACTTCTCATTTCTGGCCCCATCCCAGAGCCCAACCCCCAACTTTGTGAGCATTCATGGCCCACCATACAATTTCCATACCCAGATGTGGCCCTCGGGCCAAAAAGTTTGCCCACCCCTGGATAATACTTAGTCCTGCCATGAGTGCAGGGGACTGGACTGGGTGAACTCTCAAGGTCCCTTCCAGTCCTATGATTCTATGATTTACATGAATAATATCAATGCTATGTTTTCCTCATTTTCACGAGCACCACATTAATCCATCAGAAATAGAGATGCCTTAGATATTAGTCAAGAAGGTATCACAAATGGCTCCACCAAACTGGGAAGTACGGTCTGTGGACAGCTACGGGTGTAGAGCAGTGACTGGAACCAGACAGACACCTAAGATAGATAATTATGAGCTATGGAAATAGTTGACTGACAGTGCTTTGGTTTCTGACAGCACGATATGGTCCTATGTGCAATTTAAGGGAAGATTGAGCTATCCCCTTCCTTGTATATTTTCACCAGTTGGGATAGGGTGTGTATGGCAGAATAATAAAGCCAGTTTTATTTTTCCCCTTCCCAAGGACATAATCAACTCAATGAGTAACAGCACTGCTACCAGTAAACCACCAGTAACATTGAGGTTGGTCGTGCCTGCTAGTCAGTGTGGGTCACTGATTGGCAAAGGAGGCTCCAAGATTAAGGAAATCAGGGAGGTAAGGCAGACCCTTTTCTTAAACCTTAGTTGTAAGTGCACAGTTTAAAAGCTACATTTAACTCAAGTGAGAATGGAAACTGACTTTGCAGCCTCTGCAGTGGGTATCCACATGCAGCCAGCTTCACAAATGGTGTCACCTCCAGCAAAATGCCTGCCACCAGCAGCTGACTCAGAAATGTTAAATTGGGACTTTTGATTTCCTAAGGATCCCAGCATGTAACTGACACGGGCTCCTGCCAGCACTGGCATGGCATTACATTTGACTTCTACAGGCCTTGAAGACTGACATATTCACTGTGTACATGGCGTGGCAAGAGGAGGGAGGGTGATTGTCATGTAATGTTTGCAAAGCAAGCAATTCTTAACCAGGGTCTAACGCACCAAAAAACGAGCACATTGAAGTTGCAGCTGACTACAAAGGAAGGGACGATTAGGTGTTTTCATTGTTACAGCTGCTGTGCATTCAACTTTGCTATTCTTCCTCTCTCTCTCTCTCTCTCCCTTCCTGCTTTCTCCAGTCAACAGGTGCTCAGGTTCAAGTGGCGGGGGACATGCTGCCCAACTCCACAGAGCGGGCAGTGACAATTTCGGGGACCCCCGATGCAATTATCCAGTGTGTCAAACAGATCTGTGTGGTGATGCTGGAGGTACAGTCTGTAACAATGGGGGTAAAGTATATAGGAAAAGCTATCAACAACCAAACTACAGTCAAAACCCTGGAATAGCCATTGATGTTATTGTTCACCCTCAGTTACTGGATCATAGATGTTTCCTGGTACCTTTATTTTAAAATCCTCATAATGTGTTCTTGGCCAGCCCTGCACTCTGTTAATTTACTAGTTATGGAGTTTGGGGCTGGACTCTAACTTAACTGATAAGTGAAATATGATATTTTCTCTTGAGATTTGAAATGAGATGGAGGGGCAGTCAGCAGTAGAGTCACAAGAAGGTTGCTTTCGAAATTAGGAGGCCGTAGGCACTCTCCCTTAGGCTGAAGAGCTTGTGCGGTGGGACACAGATGGCTTAGTGCTAGAAAAGCAAGGGGAGTGGGAAGGGCATAGAGAGAAATAAGATCTGTGACATGAGCTGGAGCAAGACCGTGGAGCGTTTGAAAAACTAGGAAGATCATTTTGAACTGGATCCTGAAATGAATGGGGCAGCGGTATTGTCTGAGGACCGGAGCGATATGGTCACTGTATTTAGTATGTGAGAGAAGGCAGGAATCAGCCTTCTGCACACTGGAGTCTGGGGAGTTCTTAGCAAGGGAAGTTGGGAGAGGGAGGAGGTTGGGAGAAGGATTTTGGCAGAGGTGGGTTTGGAGCAGCAGTAATCACAGGCAGGGCTGCACCAGTGATGGGCAGGTTTGCAGCACCAGGTACCTGTTTGGAGATGCAGAATTCAGTGCCCATTATGGCAGTAGAGGCAAATGGGAAGCCTGGGTCAAAATGGGAGATAGGTCTCTGAGCTGAAGTATCGATAATTATTGGAAAGCTTTACAATGACTTTCACTACAATCCTGTCACCTTTCTGTTACTTAACCAGTGAAATTCTCATTTTTTCCGTGTTGTTAATGCTTGTGAATATAGCAGACATGTGAATATAGAGCCTTGAAATACTGTAGTTCATTTGGGGGATTTGATCACACAGTTTTTCTGTGTGTTAATATTTATTGTGAGGTTCTTGATACTCATATTGATTGTATATGCCGTGCATTCTGCGGAGAGTAGTTGTGTGTGTAGTTACAATACGTATTGTATATAATATAAACAATAATGGATACGAATCCAAACATTTTGGTCTGAAATCTCATAGGAAGAGGCTTTTGCAAGATTTCTTTCATGCATTAACAATGATTTGGTTCTCAGACAGAACTCCGCATACACCTCTCACAAACACTGTTAAGAGCAATAGTCACAGAATACAGCTCTTGCATTGCCTTCACAACAGGCAGGTCAGGCTGAAGCAGGAGACTGAATTGGCCAATGGCATTGACTTGTGGCAGGATGAAAAGACAGAGGGTGTGTGTGGGGAGAACCCTCCCAACAGCATATGGCTACATGGTGGCTCTTCAGTCACTGCTCACTTGTTCCACCAGCACATTGTTGGAGTTCGTGTGTGTGCAGCTTGCACAATTGCTGCTTGGGCTGTCCCTGTTCTGTGGATAAGCAAAGGACTTGAATCTCCCATGCCCCCAGTGTGAACCCTTTCGTAAGTACAGTAACAGCACGGAAAGGGGTCACAATAGCTGTATGCCATTTCCTTTCTAAACGAGGGAACAAGGAAATCACTTACCACGGAGTGTAATAAACATAATTTCTTATTTGCAGGTTTATACTAAAATGCTTTTCCTTCTAAGATATAGAGCTCAGTGGAGAGGCAGGGTCATTTCCAAGCCTTTGTGTGACAATAGTTTGTAAGCTGCCCTGGGTGTGTATATTACATTCACCAGCTCTTTATTATTATTATTGCTACTACTGCACCACATAGCAGACCCCATGTCCTGTGTAGATATATAGTAACCAGACAGTCTCTGCCCCAAAGACCTTGCAATGGTCGCAAGGTTCATAAGATTAAAAGTGGGATCCGCAGCACTGGTGGCCTAGCTGCATTTTTTTAAGTGGAGAAGACAAAGATGATCAATCTGTTGTACAATCTTCTCACTCTTTCTAATTTCCCTCCAACACACCTATAGTGTATTGTGCTCTACAATAGTGCCACAGCATCACATCCAACACCTGTCATCACCGATGCGATGCTGTAATCAGCTGTTGATATGTACAGCATAGCTTGATGATGGTAACAAAGGCTACGATATGAAGAAAACTTCTCTATATGTATTCCTAACAAGTTATCTCCCTCGCAACCCCACTGCATATCCCATAGCCAGCACATCCTGCTATTGCCACTTGTCTCTGGATACATGTGTCTTCAATGAGAGTTTGAGGGTGGTACTGCTAGGATGTTCTCTCATGCACAAAAGCCTGGTAAATTATGAATGTAGATTAGCAGAGAAATAAGTATATACAGTGTGTATGGTGATGAGTGTAGGAGAGTGAAATAGATTAAGTTGAGAAGGTTCATTGGAGTAAAGCCCATAGGAAAGGGAATTGCTGAGAAGCCTCATCTCATTTAATTTAAGGACTTTCTCCCCCGTTCATATGACTATATCCCTTGTCTCCTATCATTTGGAAATGATATTCGTCCAGTCCCAATGTTTCTGTTAAAGTTATTGAAGGAATCTCTGCGGGACAAGGACAATTTAATAGAATTCATGTGCCTTGTGGTGTCCATGACTTGTGTTGGGTTGGTTGCTTTCTAACTTTCTTTTTACTGATGTTTCAGGAAAGCTGTTCTAATGTTCTCTCTCCCTCTCCTTGTCCCTTTTCCTAGTCCCCACCGAAAGGTGCCACCATTCCCTATCGCCCAAAGCCCGCCTCCACCCCTGTCATTTTTGCAGGTGGTCAGGTAAGAGCCGACCCGCTTGCGGCCTCCACTGCCAACCTCAGCCTTTTACTGCAGCACCAGCCGCTGCCTGTTAGTGCACTCAGGTTTTCTCGCCTTCTCACTTGCATGGTTTCATCCCATTCATATTGTGCCAAAGCAGCTGGACTGAAAGCTCTTTGCTAAACTGCTCTTGGTTAATTTTCCTGAATACCTGGCTTAGTTGCTCCATCCATGGGAGGAGAGTATGAAAAATTCTTCCTCCAGCCAAGTTGCTGGGAATAGAAGTGAATTTTACAATCCGCTTACATGCTGTCTTGCATTCTCGGAAACAACTGAACATTCTTAGCAGGCAGGCAGCACTCAGTTTGGAACGTGCTCTTCTCCACATTTGGGGCTTGAGTCTTCAAGGTAAGGTGCTGGGCGCTCTAGTCCTGATCCAAGAAAGAACCTTAACACGTGCATATTCAGCACACGATGAAGTGCTGTGCTGGGTTTGTCTCAGAGAACTGAGCATCTTGCAGGATCGATCCCTTCGTGTTGTGAGACAAGGGCTGTGAGGAATGGGAACGCTTTTCACTAATTTGTTTGGGATGCTTACCCACAGTTACAATACCACTTGTGATGTAAAACATCACACTTTGGCATGTTTTTGCTGCAGCCCCATCTTTGCTGGAACTTTAGCTTTATTTTTCTTATAGTCTGCTCAGTTTTGAGCAACATTTCACCTTTAGATGCATAAAAACGAAGCCTTTTTCACTGACATTTTCCTATTTTCTAGTGAAAATTAGCTTTTCATATGAAGAGAGGCTAGTTAATATTTTCTCAGAGGAATCCAAAAGCTTTCTCACTTCTAGTATTTTCACTTTCACTCCGAAAGTTTCACACAGCTCTAATTAACCATCACTTGGGTAGCAGTAGGACTGGACTTGGAGCTAGGGGGCTCAGCGCTTCCCAGAGAAAACTCAGCCCCTTGGGTCCTAAGTCCTTAGTTACACAAACCTCTCATTAAAGTTTTGCCTGAGTTGGGCCTTTTTTTAAAGCCCACAATACAGGGAGGTGTTGCACATTTTTTACACAGTTAGCGGAAGATAATGCTGTACCAGTAATGTTTGTTACCACACAATCACCATTGTTTTTAATGGAGGGACTGAAAAATAACAGGCAGTATTGCACTGGCTTTACTGCCTGTAAATCAGGGCAGAGTCTGGCCCACAATTAAGGAACTTTGAATGTGTTTCTAATAACCCTTTGAAAGTGAATCCGCACTTTCTTTTCCGTAGCGACTAGTGCCTTTTGTGGCACTCGCCCACATTGGCTTGCCGGAGATTTGCAGAGTCTGAATTCTGGGTTGCTGGCACTGCTTTTTGCTTAAGATAATCAATGCACATTTTTTAAAATCAAACATAGATCAAGCATTACATGAATTTTAAAAACTGATATAAAATATGAAGTAAATGTTAGCATCCCCATCTCTCCTCTAGCGTTGTGATTTCTCATTACTCCTCAAGCGTGGAAGTGACTGTCAGCGAGGCCCCTGTGAGACCTACATTGCCATATTTATTACACATCATTCCTTAGGGCTGGAGCTGGCTTGAGGGGGCTGCTCTAAACACCTTGTTGCACCAGTTTAGCTGAAGTCATTTAAAAAATCAGTTTAGTTAAACCAGTACAAACCTCTTGATGGAAACCCTGAAATTGGTTTGCAACTGCCTTATAAAACCAATCTGAATTAAAACCTAGCAACTTTGTAGAGAGAGGGCTTAAGTGCTCAGGGCATTTCCAGATGTGTAGTAGCCCTATTCTGAAGTTCGGGGTCCAGCTTGCAATGACATTCATTACACTTATGTCATCTGTCTAATCTAATTGTCTCCAATAAAATCTCTGTTTTCTATAGGATTCATCATTGTTGTATCTAAGAAGCAAATTAGGATGGGAATTCTCCAGGTCTCCAGTAATTTCCCTTCAAACCACAATGATAGCAAACAGAAAAATATGTGGCCAAAAATTCCCAAAACATCCTTTTGGGTGCCTCAGTGAGTGAGTGCCCAATTTGAAACACTCAAGCCTGATTTTCAGAAGGGATGAGCACCTGCAGGTGCCATTGACTTCCAGGGGAGTCCTGGAAGTCAGGCCCCAGTTCTCTCCATTTAGATGCTCAAAAATGGAGCCACTCCAATGTGTGCCCTTGGAAAAATGGGCATTAGTAGCCAATTTATATCTTTGTGGTAGCTAAACATCTATGTGCCTTCCAAGACAACCCTGTTTAAAGCATGTTGTTCCCCCAGCCCATAATTGGTAGCAGAAATGCAAACCAAGTATGGGAGCACATGATAAGGACACACAGCAGAATGCAGACTTAGCATCTGACTTTTTAACCAGTCGCCAAAAGCTTGCTAAATCGAGTGTATCACTGTCCTCTGAGCAGCAGTCCTGCAGAAGAGCTTTGGGTCCAGCTGTGAAGTGAACTGTATCTTCTCAAAAGGGAGAGTAAGATGGAAGGAACTTCCCCCTGCTGTTAAATTTCTGGTGTCTTGAGCAGAGGTTTATTTCAAGGAAAGAAGTGGGGCGCTAGAGGTCAGAAATCCTCATTGGCTGTATAAAGAAAAACTCCTTAGCTACTCTGCATAAGATGCCATTAGTTGTAAGGGCTCTGCCTCAGAAAGGGGCAGGTGCCCTGTCCTGGGACTGGAAGAACAAATGTACAGGGGAAAATGCCCCCAGCTGCCTCAGATCTCCCCATGTATACAGCAGGGTTGAGGGGTGTCAGGCGTTCAGTGCCACACTCCCATGTAACCTCACCCCCGCAGGCAGTTTCCAGTTCATCATCCCCAGCTATAGTTCCTGGCACAGGTACTGCCCCCCATCGCTTCCCCAACAATCCCCCCAACTGCCTGAGGCTCTGCCACACCCCACCCATCTCAGGCTGTTCCATCCTCCCAACAACCCTCCAACAGCCTCAGGCTCTGCCACACCCCACCCACC